TTATCACTAAAATTAGTATCCCCATGTTTTTCTTATGGGATTCGATCTTTTGATGAAGTAACGATAATACAGAGATAGAAGGATGAAACCTTGGGATCACGTACTACTCTGTGTCTCGTTGGGATGTACGTGACCATTTACGTCACAGTCGTTCCACTCCGGGGGGAGTTCATTTCGTTTTCCTTTCCCGAGCTAGCGCAGCCCCATTTGCAACTACGGACTCCGAACCGGTTCTAATGGATTCCTCTTGTGTTTGTTCACAACCAAGCACAGCTTAGAGTTGCTGGGTGCTCTGCTTCTATTTTATTTAATTGTTCTAAATGCTTTAATAATTTTAAAATGACCATAACTCGGGGGCTCTTCAGGCGGATGTCTTAATTTTCTCAGGAACGATTCTTCCCGCCGAGACATTCAAAAGGAGGTCTCAGATGTCACATTCGGCTCACTTCATCTCCAGATACTGTCTGATGCCGGCGCCCCATGATATTGGTCCTATTGTCCCTGTGTGATGAGGTGTTTAAATTTATTTAAATCGTGATTATCTCAGGTTTGGTTGGTCCCTTTGACTGAAGGTTAGTATCGTTCAATTCTGCTGGTGACCGCCTTTCGCCCTTTGCTCAGATTGCCCTGCTAAAGATTTTTAGAAAGATTTTAATCTTGTTACGCCAAAGCAGCATAACTTTTTACGTGCGTACACACACACTTTTTATTTTTTACATAACAAAGTTATCAAAATTATTTTTATATCACTAATATTCAATCATATATATAGAAATATAAAACAAAAAACTGCACTTAATTTTAAAATGTGTCATCAAAGAGGAATCAATAAGTACAATTTATTTTTATTACAGTTGCTCAAAAATCATCAACACAGCATGATGATATTATATTCCTTAACTTTTATTTCTCGGAGGGTAGTTCATTGGAGTAGACCTTAAATATCTTACTCGACAATTCCAAAAGCTTCAATTCTTTAATACAGTTTTCTGTTGCATCGTCTACTGAATTGTATCGAGACTAAAGCTATAATATTAAGATTTAAATGTGTTTCTTAAGTGTGTTAATTGTGCCGCCCAGCCAGTAGGATGGATAGGAGCCTCGGCTTGTAACCGATTGTTTTCGAATCCCGAGTAAGACATGGTTGTATCTTCTTCTGGAAAAAAGTAGGACTTTCGCCTGTAGTGGATTCCCGTCTCGAATGGAAGGCAGGCGCACCCCTTCGGTTATATGCTGGGATCATCATTCGTAATAAATGTCTATATTCTTTTGTTTGTATTGTATGTTTCTGTTCTTCCCCTCGTATTTTATATGTATCCCAGGATAAAAAATACACGACAACAACAAGTGTGTTAAATATGTAAGTTTAAAATCAGAAACACACATACACAAAAGTGGACTTTTGTAGTTGCAAGTTACTTGAGCTTGAATTTTATCAAACTGTTATGTGAACCCATGACAATATAATATTTTTGATATTTAGTGATGATTTGTAATGAAAGCATGTTAAATATAAGTGAAACTGATACCTAATTCACTCTGTTATGCTTCATTTCCGATACTAAATCATTACGTTGTCACTAGGGCTGCAATACATGCATATATTCAGGATAATGTTGACAGCACAAACAAAATGTCTAAGATTCATGAAATGTTTTCCATGAATTTTTTTATATATTCGCAGCTCAATTCATCAATATAACTAAATATAGCGATAAAAGATTAGGAAAATAATCGAGTCGCAGACAGCTGCTGGAGTATAACGCGAATAGATATTAGTTAAATTAAAGTTTGTTAACTTTTAAAAATGTATTAACTATCAATAACATAAACTTTTGGAAAAAAATGCATTAATTTTCAGTTTAGCTACGAGTTACTTACGTGAATAATTCTTAAATATATCAAATGCTTTTTTTCTATCATTTTACGTTCTTTCGTTTCAGTAAATTTTTAGAGCCCTCAAGATAGTTAGTGAAGGAGCTCTATAACAATATTACATTTTCACGAGATTACGTGTTATTTTGTAATTTAGGATTAAACGATGTATACAATTTATGCGGTTGGCAGTAGTTGGTTGAAATTCGTATCTATCTTTGATTAGGAGGGTGTTTAAGGGCGATTATAACGTTGTGCCTTCCAAATGATAATTCTGTTGCACGCCCCTAACTGGATGGCAGCTAATGAGACTCATTCCTAATAACATTTATTAAAACGCCATAATTGCGTTTCATCTGTGCAAATAAATGACCCATAATTCTCTATGAAACAAATGTCCCTCCTCTTTGAATGTGACATCCACTGGAGTAACGTATGGTTGCACTTATTCACCTCAATTAAATACTCGGTCATGACTTCATTTTTTAAATGAAGTACGTGTTTATGAGATAGATTGATCCTTAAAGGTAAATGGTCATTAGAGGTGATATAATTAGACCCACAGGTTAAGAGGAAAACTAAGTAATCCTTATGGTAACGACCACACATTTAAAGTCACCATCACCTCATTCGGTTTTATAAAGTTAATGCGATTTTTTTTACACATTTATTTTATAATTGTATCCTAGTAATTTAACATTCTAAAAATACCAGAATAAAAATGAAACATAATTAATGCATCACGTGAAGTTGCATAAGCATGATTTATATTGATTTAATTATTATTATTATTATTTATATTACATATTGAGAAAATTTTGAATAATATTTTCCTTATTTGGTGTGATTGATGCTTTTTTTTAAAATTTAGTCTGCTCTATGTACAAAAGTTGTGGGTTTATTAAAGGTTTTTTGTTGCTCAAAAAAAATATGATGCCTCACAAAACAAAACTAATTTTTTATGAAACTATGTTTGTGCAAAAGTATTTTGCATCAAAATCTTTTCTTTTGTGTGTGTGTGCACCTTTCTAAGGTACTGATATCGCTATTTAATTGAAAAAAAACAAAGCAAAACAAAACAACACAAACAAGGCCTTTCAATATTTTGCTAACAAGTTATAGAAACAGACATGCACAAAAATAATTACTGGAATATTATCAAAAGGCTTAGAAATTTCTTATAAATATAACTTATTAAATATATTTCAGGAATCAAAAAGAGAATGTTAGGATATTGGAATACAGTAAGACAAAAAATTGCATTTTCTGAAGTTTATAGACAAAATAAATAATTAAAAAGATACAACAATAAATAAAAAGATAGCTTTAATTTTTGTAATTTTCCTGTTAGACAGGCAAAAAGGGCATCATTGATCAATACTGAGAAATAATTAAATTATGAAGTTAGTGGATAAATTAGATTAATTAGCATAAGGTATTCATAGTGGATTAATTAATTGACCCTAATGTAATGAAACTATTTCCTAATTGAAACTTTTATCTCACATCATTTATAATTATTTATAAAATGCTATAAATAGTCTATGAGTCTGCTCAACTTTATTCTAATCACGTGTAAATCATTATTTCTAAAGATGTTCCAGTCCGCCGCGTAGAAAGTTGGTGTACGTTAAATCTGTCCACAACCATAGCCCTCGTGTTGGCGTGTCGTGGAAGCTTAGAGAAGGAGGTGCTGCCTCAGGTGTCGTCACTTAACTGTAGTTAAAATATAGCGAGGCTCTCCTAG